CAAGGGTTGTGGTACTATTGATTGACCGAGGCTGCGTTGTAGGGACGTGTCGTGAGAATCGCCTCGCCTGAGACACCTCCATGGTTATCTCAATATGCCTCACGGAAGCTGAGAGATGGATCTAGTTTTTCTGTAGAGCCGCAAACTGAGACTGATGAACTGAATTTTTTGATCTATTGAGCGATGTATAAATAAGGGTTGGGAATCTGGAGATCCTTGGCATTCTGGCATCAAACACAGCATCTCGGGATTCACAGAGCATAAATCTGGAGGAAAACATCCTGGGCTGTAATCATGAAACTTCTATCATCAATCATTCTTGTCTCTTCCTGGGCCATCGCGGTCCAGGCAGGATGCAACGCCGACAACTGTCTCAGAGCCATTCGCGGCAAAGGTGACCCGGCCGCCTCATTCTGCAACTCCCTCACTGCAACCAAGGTTACCAAGACGCAAGGCTTGCCTACGTATGTCACTCAATGCACGGGTGACACCTTATCTCGAGCCAGCTCGGCGTGCAGCTGCTTCATGGCATCGTATACACCAACCGCGGTCCCGACCACGACCCCAACGCCGCCAAAGCCAACGACACTTGCTTGCAACAGAGACAACTGCTTCAGGGGCATGCTGCGTGCTGATGGCGCCGCGGCCTTTTGCAAAACGTACACAACAAAGGTTAATACAGAGACCAAAGGTCTGCCGACAATTGTGTCGCAGTGCTCTTCCGTCCCTTCGTCCATCAGCTCGGCATGCTCCTGTGTGATGCAAGAGCTCACTGCCACAGCGACTGCGACAACCACGCCCTCGGCCCCTACGACGACTCCCGTTACAGCTACGACTAAGCCGACTACTCCAACACAACCATCTGGCTGCAAGCCAACCCTCGTCCTCAGTGGCGTGAATGAGAAGGCTTTCAATCCGGCTAATGCACCCTTCACTATCAAGCCATCGTGCAACAAACTCGACACAAAGGATTATACCGTCTTGCTAGCTTACGAGGTGTTGGGCGACGGTCCTTTTGCTGGCTTGGGTAAGCCCCTCGCAGGTACTATGATTAGTCCAGATGGCATCACCCTCCCCAATGGCCTTGAATACGGTCGCCAGAGCATCATCGTCATTTCTACAGACGACCATGGCACCCCCATGTTCCAGAACTTCCAGCTTCTCTTTGGTGTCATCACCATGCCTGTCAAGGTGCTGGATGAGAACGATAAGCCTGTTGTCGGCCTCAAGGTCACTGCGGATGCTACCGCATACCCAGGTATCAGTCAGGTCGCCACTACCGACGCCAATGGAGTTGCTACCTTTGTCAATCTGCCTTCAACGTCCATCAGTCTCTTCGCCAGAACCGAAGACAACAGAATTGCCTTCAACGGTCTTAGGGCGATAGGCAGCACAGTCACTCTCAAGCTCTAGCCATTCTACAAAGCCAGCGACAACACAAAGTTTGACAAGGACAATGGCATCACTGGATGGACTGGGGGTACCGTCAAGCAGCTCCCTCTTGTCAAGCGCGACACAACCGCCTTGGAGGTGAATACCGGCGGCCAAGCTACACTCGTGACCGCTCACGCGGAACCCAAGGTCTACCCCTTCACCAGGGCCGTGTACATCAAGTACAAATTTATCACCTCTGAGGTCCCCGGCGGTTACTTTGGCTCTAATTTCAATGACTACTACAGTATTTCCATCAGAAGCAACCAGGGAAACTTGGCAACCGAGTCTCAGAGCATGAACGGACTCGGCCGCGGTGCTTTTGACAGCAATGGCGCTACCGGTTGGCTGACTCTCCAAGTTGGCGTCGACCAAGGCACTCAGTGGGTGCAGTTCGACGTTGGTGTCGCCAATGTGGGAGACAGCGCCTATGACTCTCAGGTCGTCGTCGCTGCGATCGGAGACTTGACTTGCGACCAGTGCGGCGACTGCACAAAGTGCCCTGGCCATCCCGTCTGCCAGCCCACCTGTCAAGATCCTCCCCTGCGATCCTGCAACTTCTACCAGCGCTGCGCCGAAGACACGCTTGCCTGCGGCCCCGAGGGCTACCCGACCAAATACGGCACCAAGAACTGCCGTCGTTTTGAGAACAACCTGACCAAGTTCACCCAGAAGGGCCAGGACTGGATCTGGAACACCATGCACTGCCTGCAAAAGGCCCTCATCCAACCCCTGAGCCAGTGCAACATGAACTGCGATAGCATCAGGACCATAGCGTTCGACTCTCACCCGACCTGCTATCTCCAGAGCGGCATGTGCGACCTCGACGTCGAGGACTGGATCATGATTGTCGTCACGGTCAACTCTGACTTGATTGACGGAAACTCTCTCGACCAAGTCCTCACCACTGCCGGCGGTTGTATTGACCACTACCGGGCCCAGATTAACCAGAAGATTGACGAGTTGAAGCAGTTGGCCATTGATCACGTTGGCATGGCTGCCCTTTACCTTGCCAGGGTAGTCGCTCTGGAGGCTGTCAAGGCTTACCTCCAGCAACACTTCCCTCAGAACCCCATCTAAATTGTCTTTGTGAATTGGAGTATTAGCCTGGGCGTCCTTCTTTGTAGCATTTAGCGAATTGGTCTAGCCCTAGATATTTCCCTTATACATACGTCTTTACACATGCGTCGTTACGATTGCGCGCTTCTGCATAGCGCTTGTTCTTGGTATCAATCACCGTGAGTTCATATATAATGGTTAGAAGAATAGCAAATGAAGTATATTGTGCGATATTGATTCCAACCAAGTTCATCACCATCAGCCAAGACTATGTGAGTGGGATGAGTGGGATGAGCTTCCATTGATGAGTCTCCTTCTCCCAGTCGCTTTCTTTAATCTCACCATAGTTTAGACGGTGGGCGACGGCATGTCGCCATTCAATCTGGATCACCAACAAGACCGGCTCCGAACCCTGGACCCGTCGACTGCCCAAGATGATAAACTCATACGATCCTCGGGCGTGAGGACTATAGTCCGACAGCAAGGTTCCCAGGAAACCGACCGTCTCACCCCTCGAGCTTGAGATGGTGGCCGGGGTACCCTCGTGCTGGGCAGGGACCACGTTGAAATTTGCAGAGCTGATCCAGAAGAAAATGAGGTGCGTGACCGGAAAGTCGTCCATTCCGGTCGCGAAAAGCTGCGGATGCTTGGCGGCAAGGTCGTTTAGGGTGACGGGCTTGTAATTCTGAACCTTCCAGCTTGGAGAGCTATACAATTTTGACCAATCATAATGTTTCACTAAATAAAGAAAAGATTTGTTTAAAAAAGTATTTAAAAATTTTAATAGTTTTATTTTATTGTATTATATTAATACCCAATAACATTCAATAGGGTCGGAACGACTAACACACGGCAAGAAATGCTACCATCGAGGTCACCCTCTTATCCAATCTATATGTTATTCAATATGGTCATCTAAATAACTTTAGTATAGTGACCGATTGAATCTAATCCTTGCTTGTTTTCTTTTTCCTGATTGGTTCAGTTCCATGATATACCTTGTGGTTAGTAGGATCAAGGGAAGTGATGACAGCCCTCGCAATTATATCGAATTTCAAATAAAGTGTCAGGTTTTAGATCACAAGGGAGTGAATAAGTACACAGTATTGTAAAGATTATGTAATAATCTTGTAGATAGGTATTAATTAATAACAGTTTTAATTCTTATTCTTTTAATTTTTTAATTAATAACTATAACTTAAAATATATATTATTAATTAATATTAAAAAAAATTTTTTATTATTTTTATATAACTTATAATATATTATTTTTTTTAAAATAATTTTTAATTTATAATAATTTTATTATTTTATTATAAATTTATTATTAATTATTAATTTTTTTTATTATAAGTTTTTATAATAAAATTATTTTTTATTTTTATATAAGTTTTTTTATATAATTAAAAAAAATTTAATTTTTTTTTATTTAATTTATTATAATTTTATTATAATAATATAATAAATTTATTAAAAAATAATTACTTTTAATTTTTTATTTATTATAATATTATTATTATAAAAATATTATAAATATTTTTTTATATAATAAAATTATATTTATTATAATTATTATATAAAATTTAAAAATTATTATTTTTATAAATTTATATTAAAAATTATTATTTTATAAATTATTATTAAAAATTATTATATTATAAATTAATTTTTTTAAACTTTTAATTTTATAATTATAATTTCTTTTTTTATTATAATTTTTTTTATAAATTATTATTAATTTATAAATAATCCCTCTTATATTTTAAGTTTTATAATTATTATATTTTTATTAATAATCTATTAATATTTTATTATAATCTTTTTTATAATTTTTTTTATATAAATAATTCTTTTTAATATATTTTTTATTATTTTATAATTAATTTAATATAATTTTTATATATATTATTTTTAAATTTTAATAAATTAAATTTTTAATTTAAAAATTAATATTAATATTAATATTTTTATATTTATATATAAAAAAAATTAATTATATATTATTATCTTTTTATAAATTTATTATAAGTTTTTTTATTAATAAATTTAAATTATTTTTTTTAAATATATTTATTATATTAAAAAAATAAAAAATATTATTATATATAATTTTTTTAATTTTTTTAATATTTTATTATTAATTTACTATAATTTTATAAAATAAATTATAAAATTTATAAATATTTTTTTATTTTATAAATAAATTAATAATTTTACTATTATTATTATTTTTTTAATTTTTATATATTTTTTATTTTTAAATTTTATAAAAATTATTATTAATTTATTATTAATTAATTAAAAAAAAATTTATTTATTAAGTTTTTTAAATTTATAAAAGTATTTAAATTAAATATATTATTATTATTATAGATTTATTATTTAAAATTTTATTTTAAAATCTTTATTAATTTATTATTAAATTATTATTATTATTATTATTATTATTAATATTAATAACATTATATATAATATAATTATTAAATTTATAAAATCTATTATTAATATTAGCCCGTATGGCAGAGGGGTTAACTGCCTGGGACTATCCGATTGGTCACCGGAAGTTATAGGTTCGAATCCTGCTGCGGGTAACTTTTCTTAGGCTGGTTCCCCTAAGAAAAAGAAACCAAGTGCCTGCCCCGCCCCAGGGCAAGGAAAAAATTTGGGCCGTTATCGCAGCGTTATCGCGACGGCTTCCTCAGTCGACAACAGAGGCACTGGGTGCAGAGTGTAATTCTGCAGCGCCTAGCCCCCGGCTTAAACCCGGGCCGTACTCGCCACGATAACGCAGCGGGCTCTAAAACTGGTTTTTAGAATAATAAATAAGCCAATCTAGAGTCATGGGACAATAAGCATAAGTGCTAGATCGCCATACAAAACTATATCGAAGGGAAAATCGAAACGAGAGAGGAACAGGTACGCAGTAAGCCTAAAATTCCAATAGAAGTTAGCCCTTATATAGTAAGGTTTTTCTCCCAGGCAGGGTTTTTCCTTATACAGTCAAGTAGCCTATGTAAGACTTTAGAATAGAAGAGGGACTAAAGCACTATAGATATATATTTTATCATAGATAGCTAGTTAGTGTAATAAACATACATACATTATTAATATTAATTAAAGTTTATAAACTATTATTTAAGTTTAATAATTATATATTTTAATATATATATATATATATATATTTTTTTTATTTAAAATTTTATTAATTTATTATAATATAATAAAACTAATAAATTAAAATCTTTTATAATGTTATTAAATTAATTAAATTATAATATTTATTTATATTTTTAAAAAATTTAAAAAAAATAATAAAAATAATAATAAAAAAATTAAACAATTTTTTTATTATATTATTATATATTTATTAAATATTTATTTATAAAATAAATTTATTAATTTATAGTGTAATGACCCGACGCACTTATGTCATCCATAGAACTAGACCCATTTTTAATAACACCTGTGTAAGCTATTAATTAGAACTATAACTATAGTAAAACCCTAGGTAATATAGTTAATTATAATTAGCTTAAACAAGATTAATTCAAGTATATTTAATAGCTTAAATAAAATTAATTTAAATATATATAATAGCTTAAATAGAATTAATTTAATTTATTATAATTATTAAATTATTAGTTTATTTTTATTAAAATAGAATCTTATATTTATTTAAACTATAATAAATCTAATTACTATATATATTAGTCTATATTTTTTCTTATATATTTAATTAATTATTAATATAATTATTTACTATTTGTAATTTAATATTTAAATTATAATATATTAAACCTATTATTTAATCTTATTTTAATTTATTACTAATATTAACTATAATTTAGGTTATTTTTATTAGAAAATACTTAGAATATTATATATTAATAACTTTTATTTAATAGATTATTATAATTTTAAATAATATTAAATATTATAATTAATAAAAAATAATAATTATCCTAGGTACTTACCCTAGTATAATTAACTATATTATTTAATAAAGTTAAAAAAAATATTTTTAATTATAAATTAATAATTTTAAAAAAGAATAACGTATTCCATAAACAAGTGTACCACATAAGCGAGTGTGCTACTCTTTACCACCTCGTGTAGAAAAAAACAAAATCAGCTTTTAACACTTTTTAATCTATATTAAATATCTAGTTATTATAATAGTATTAAAAGAAAATAATTATATCTTTTATTTAGTTATATTTTCTTATAGGTTTATATATTATAACTAGTTTTACTATACTTACTATAGCGCAAAGCCTTTATACAAGCAGACTTTTTTTGCCGCTCCTTCTGTTTAATTTACTTATTTATATCCCTTTGATCTAATTAATTGATTCTTTCTTAAACAGTAAGTATACCTTTAAGTTATATACGAGTTTTTTTGCTTTACGGTGCTTATTTAATGCCTTATTTATTATATAAAGTTTAAAGACCTTTTCGCATAAAAGTATTACTTAATATATAATTATTATTATACCTTTTATAAATTAATTAATTATAGTTAATATTATAATTAAAAAGTTATTTTAATAAGTAAAAATATAATTTTTTATATACTTTAATTATAAGATAGCCTTATATATATTTTTTAGTGTTTTAAAGACCTAAGGCTATATAGGTTAAGGTAATATTTCTAAAAGTATTAATATTTATAACTCTATATTAAGTATTAAAAAAATACTCTACGAATTAAATAGTAATAAACTAGCTCTTTTAAAACCTCTTTTAATATTCTTCTTATTAATTGTAATAAAAAATATTATATAAAAAGTATAAAGAAACTTAAGTTTATTAATATATATAATATATATATATATTAATTTTTTAATTTATTAATTATATATTTGCTTTAATAGCCTAAAGTAATTAATATTTAATAATTAAAAAAGATATAAAAAATAAAAAAGTATATAAACTATAATAATCTTATACTTTTTATAATAAAACTTAAATACTATTAAATAATAATTCTTATGACTATTAAGGATAAACATTTAATAAATCCTTTTTATATAAAAAACTATATAATAATTAAAATACTTAATCTAATCTAAGCTAACCTTATTAATAATCTAATTATTTTTTACTATTATAATATATTAATTTATTAAAAGATTATATTTTTAATATTAATTCTTAAAATAATATTATATAATAAGAATAATAAATAATAGTATTACCTAACCTATTCTATTAATACCTTAAATTATAGTTACCTATTCTTAATTACTAGGCTAAAATAATTTAACCTTTATATAATTTTCTAAAGTTATAATTATTATACTTAAAAAAATAATATCTATTATAAAACTAATTTTATTAAAGTTATAAAAATTATTATTAAAAATCTTATATTTAACCTTAATATTCTATATAAACTTAAACTAAACACTAATAAATATTAGGTCTTTATATTTAGTTTTTTAATAATTATATTTATAAGCCTAGCATATATAAAACTTTAGTTAGTATTTAATAAAATTTAATATCTAGTTTTTATTAACTAATAGTATATCGTATATATATAATAAATAATTAGCTATTTCTTTAATACTATACAATCTAAAAGAAAATAATCATATAGATAAGTTAATTATATACTTAAGTATAGCTTTTTCTTCTAATTCTATAAGATTCATTGAATTGGCTTTTATATTATATTATAAAGGCTATCTAGCGTAACGCTAACTTAAAATCATGCGATTAATATTATAGATCTTTTCTATAGCTCTAAGACTTAAATCTAGGTCTTTTTTAAGAGCTTTAAAAGCTATAATAACTTTACTTTTATATAAAGGTAATACTATTTAAGATCGTTAAGGAATTTAATATATTGTGATAGAGGTAGATGTAGTGGTGGAGGGTAGTATACTTGTTTATGTGGCACACTCGCTTATAGAATACGTTAAATGAAAAATAAAAAAAATATTAAAAGAATCCTTAGACTAAAAGACCTAAGATTATTTTCTAAAAAGCCTAAAATAATATTTTTTTAAGCTTTTATTATAGACTTAAAAACTTATTATAATTATTATCTTTAATATTTTAAAAAGAATTATATAAAAGTAATTTATATATATATTTATATAAAAAAACCTATTAAAAATAGTTTAAACCTACTATAAAAACTATTATAATAACCTAAAAAATAAAAAAATAAATAAATAAAATAAAATTTTAAAGATTCTAATAAATTTATTAAAAAACTTAAGGAAATATTTAAAATTATTAATAAAAAAACTTTTATTTTAAAACTTTTATTAAAAAAGATTAATTTTAAATTATACTATTATATTTAAATAAGCTATTTTAAAACTTAATTAAAATAATAAACTATTAATAAATTAGTTTTATTAAAGATTAAAAAAAACATTAAAAATAAACTTTTTAAAAAAGATTTATTAAATACTTTTATAAAATATATTAAAATAACTATTAAAATTAATAATTAATAATATACTTACTATAAACAAAAATAAAAAAATAAAACCTACTAAAAACCTAAAAATAATTATATTATTAAAAATAATAATAATAAACTAAATTAAATAAACCTTAATATAACCTAAAAAAAAAAAATACTATAATTATAGTAGAATAGAATATTTTTTTAAGGATTATAGATCTTTTAGAAAAAATAAAAAAATAAATATATAAAAGTTAGTGTTTAAGCTAAAAAAAATAAGTTAATACTATTATTAAATAATAATTAATTATAGACTATACTTTAATAAGCTAAATAGTATATTTTAAAAATAAATATTTAATTTATTAGAGTTTAAAAAATAATATAAATTAATATTTAAAGCCTTTTTAATAAGTTAATATACTTAAATAAAAATATAATAAAAAAAAAACTAATAGGATTTATTAAAAAGAACTTAATAATATTACTTAGTATTTATAAACTAATTACTAATATAAATATAATATTCTATAAAAATAACTATTAATTAAGAAACCTTTATTAATAATATTAATAGTTTATTTATTTAAAAAAAAAACTATAATAAAAGAAATTCTAGAATACTAAAATAATTTATAATATAATAGATCTTTATAAGCTAATTATTAAAATATATACTATTAAAATTATATTAAACTTATATATAAAAAATATTAGAAAGTTAAATTTATAAACTAATATTAATAAATATTTAAACTAATAGTAATTATATAAGAATATCTAATTATAAAGATTACCCAGGAATTATTTAAATAAAACTTTAATTTTTAAATTTATAAAAAGAATTTAAAAGATTAATAAAAATAATATAAATTATAAAATATATTAAATATTAAAGATAATATAGTAACTTATAAAATCTATAATTTATAAATAGAAAATAAAATAAATTACTTATAAAAGGGTTATAAGATAATTATTAAATAAAATCTTTTAATTCTATAAATAGAAGTTATTATAGATAGCTTTATTTAATAGTAAAACTATAAATTAAAAAATATTATCTTATTGTATTAATAGATAGTAAAGTAATAAATAATTATATATTTTTTAAGGTTATAAATTATTTATAGTTATTTTAAAAGAAAAAACTAAAATATAAATTAT